TGTAGTAATATCCTCAAGAGTAGTAAACCATTGTGGTATAACACCTTTTGGAATTTTGTTAAGTCTAGGTGAGATATATATTTTTCATTGTTTTAGAAGGTAGCATTCAAATGTTGATAGTCTTTTCTATTTTACAGAACTTCTTAACCAACCTCTGAATTTTGACTATTCATTATATTTTTTTATTATTTATTACTTATTCTTTGTTATTCTTTTCTTATATACCTGATATTTTATATTTTTTCTATCTCTATAAAACCCTAAACTTATCAATCCTATGTTTGTTATTTAAGCAAACCTAATCCTACATAATATTTTGACTTCAAACAGTTAAACCATCTAAAACAATAAACAAAATATTTTCTCTTAACAATAATATACTATACAATAAACATTAAAAAAAGCCTCATTGAATCTTATAAGTCTTATTATCTCATAAAACTAAACCTGTCCTTTTTAGTATGCATTTGGATCTCTTAGTAGGACATTTTAATTATTTGTTTACCTTTTAACAGATTGCTCTTTGATATTTTTGGTCTCAAATAAGTGAAGACATCAAAAATTATGTCAAGACATATAATGCTTATCAATAGATAAGTTATCCTAAAACCTGTAAACTCTTTCATCCTATTAAGATAGGATTGCCATTTGACAGAGTCAGAATTGACCTTATAGAACCACTAGTTTCTATCCAAAATGGCAATTATTATATCATTGTCATCACAAAATACCTTACAAAGTGGTCTGAGACTTATATTATATCTGATGCTACAGCACTCTCAGCAGCTTTCTTCCTTGTAGAAGACATCATTTGTTGCCATAGATGTTCTAAGGTGCTTCTATCAGATCAAAGAAAGCATTTTGTCAATCATATCCTTAATGTTATTTGTGTCTAATTAAAATTCCATCATCATTATTTCATTACCTATCATCTTCAAACTAAAACATTTTAATTGAATATTGTGTAAGGTGTTAACCAAGTATACTATCCAATTTTCTGAAGATTGGGACCAATATATAGCTCTTATATTATTTGCCTATCGAATCACTAAACATTCTACTATATAGCATAGTCTATTCTTTCTTATGTACAGAAGAGATGCAGTGCTATTGATAGATGTCATGGCTTCAGATTCTAACCCTTTGTCAGTTAATGAAGTAGAATTACAAAATAACCTTATGAAATGAATAGAAGTCTTGTTAAGCAAGCTTCTCAGAATACAGAAAGAGGCTCAAAATAGGATTATAAAAGCCCAACAGAAACAGTAGAATTAGCATAACTGAAAGTTCTCAATTAAAAGCTACTTCATTAGAGACTGAGTCCTAAGATACTGTTTTGAACTTCAGAAAACATATAAGAAGAAGTTAAAAAAAAAATAGGTTGGACCTTTCTTTATACATGATGTTCTAAAGAATGAAATATATAAGCTACAGACTTTTAAAGATAAGGTCTTGAAGCAAAAGGTTCATGACAACTGTAAGAAGAGGAATTTGTTACCAAAAAATTTTTTTTATTTTATCAGATCTGTTATTGAATCAACTAACTATATTCATTGCCCAATAAGTTACTTTCTCTTTTCTAATTTGGCTATTCTTTATTTCTAAAAAACTATCTATTCTAGTATTTGTTTATCAATTTCTATAATTATTATCTTTATTAATTATCCTTATTACTTAAAATGATTATATCTTATTTTTATATATAGTTATTATTCTATATGTCTATCAAATTTTAAAATTGTTAATGATCATATTGTTGGTTATATTAGAATTGGTTTCTTTAAATTAAATGAAGAAAAAATCATTATGTGACCCTATTGTAAGATGTGTCTAAAGAATGATTATGAGATTAATTGTTAAAGATATCATTAAGAAAATATAGTTATCAATAATATTTGAAGGATGAAATGTTTGTAATACAAGATGAAAAGATTTGATTGATTATTTTTAAGTATGTATTTCACAAGAGTGAACAAAAAGCATTTACTTATTATCACCTGTGATCAAATTTGAAATTCTTGTATGTCTTGAAAGGATATAAAAACCCTTTCTGTTCGACATTCAATAAAGTCTTCAGATTTTACAATCTCATTAAAAACATAAATTGTATAAATTAGTAGGCAATTCAAAGCTGAAGGTAATTTATACTTCCATGACCCATATAAATCTTAGAATTTTATTAAAAGTCTTATTGTGAATTACAACCCTGCATATTTGTGCTATTACTTTAATTAATTGATTGATTCTTAAAACTTACATTACAGATTGATAACATTAATTAATCAAACTCTTAAATTATACAATTGTCTTATTGATATCACTATTTAATTACTCTATTGATACATTACATGATCCCCTATTTTACAATACACAATAATTAACCTCCATCTATTTATATCTATCGCTAACAACTACTTGATCTCGATTTCCCCACATTTCGTTAATACGAAATACCCTCGACGACACTACACTTAATTAACCCATACCCCTCTTTACATTACTATCCTGAATTAAACCGGCACATTAACTATCACTGCTCTCCCAAAACAGATAGTAACACCGTAAATAAAAACAGTTTAAAACTTTGAGCGAATAAGAATTAAACATTACATTTGGATTCATATTTCTTCTGAAATACAAGAAATATGGTTAGCTTTCTTATATAACAAACTGGTTATTTTGAAAGAAAAAAAGTTTTTTTTGAAGTTCACGCTTACCATATAGAATTAATGTAAAATTTAAAATTTTACGGCTTGTTATAAAAGAAGTTCATTCTACATCACATGTGTGCACATATTCACATGAAACGTGACCACATATGCACATATATGCGCATCACATTTTCCCGTCCACCTAATGCCAAGCGAGAAAAACATGAAATAACCAAATTAGTAGTTGTGAAACGGTAAAATTTGGTAAGGATTGAACTTGTTATTGTTTCCAAATTAATGAATTAATATTAACGCAGTGGTCACCAATAAAAGCTGTCACATATTCCCATGGTGTTAATATGGCTTTTTTCGAAACGCTAATCTAATTTTGGAATATTTTAATCAGAGTCTGAGGTCTAGATCATTAGAATACTGTGATTTGAATATACAAATTTTACAATATAACTTTATTGATAAAAAATAATTCAAACAAGGGCTATCATATTAATTATATAATTTTGTATTATCACGAATTTTGGTCCCATGATACGTATTACGGGTCAAATAATCTAAGTTCTAAGAAATTCTTTCATCACGCGAAGAAACTATAATTATCCAATCTCTGCTTGTGGCATGCTCATTATATATTATTGTCAGCTTTTCCTGATTTTTCGTAAATGATCAAATATCGAGGTAAGCAAGCGCATTCTTTATAGACTACTAATTCATCATAATTCAACTTTTCACCAGGTTCTCCAACAACGCTATCATAATTAGACGGTGATCCTTCCATATTTTTATTTTCTTCCAGCAATTCCAATACCCTTCCTGCCACTACCTTATTAAGAAGCATGGCTTTGTATTTTCTAGAATTGCATACTTTGGTATCTTTACTAAAATAGTCTGATTTTGATGAGGTGCCAGAAAAATATATTCCTGGTCCAAATTTTTGCCAAGGAAAACTTTTTGGTCCTTCGTATGAAAGCTTAAATCCATTTTTAATAATGCCACATATTGAGCATTCTGAATTTGAACATAACGCTTCAGTTTCTATCCCTAAAAAACATTTCCTAAATGCGACAAGAAATGTATCCGACTTTTTAGTGAGAAGCAAATTCGGAAAAATGCCAAAGTATATGTGTACGTACATCCTAGTTCCGTGAAACCTTCTTTGCTCATTTCCTCGCGTCATTTTTCGACTTTCATCGCCTTTTGGGAATGGTCTTCCTTTGTATCCGAAACCGCGTCTTTTTTCAACATAATCTTGATAATCATTGTATTTGAATACAAGATCTTGATTTGGAAATATCTTGTAAACTGCATATACGCTAGGAATTGGTTTATTCTTATGTTTCCATGAGGATGTAAATTGATTAGAAATGTCTTTAAACTTTTGTCCTTCATTTGAAAGTCTATATATGCAGGGTGCTTATAAATATTTGTATAAAAATTTATTCGGATTAGACATAAATATTTTGTTGCTGGTATATTATGATCAAGCATAAAAAAAAAAAAAAATCAAAACCTTCGGGTATAATATGTCATCAGATAAAATATTCACCATTGTTTTGAGCATGCTCTTCACATTCTCTTTTACAAAAGTCTTTACCGTAAAGTGGATATTCTTGTCGACATTCTAAACAAAATTCGTCGCTCTTAATCATCATTTTCCAATTTGGTGTATCATCTCTACACTTTTTAGAACACCATAAAGAACCCATATCTCTCACTTGGTTGTTCTTTATTCATCAGACAGAATTTTAATTAAAAAAAAATAATCATAAAACTAGAGTTTTTTTTTTTACTTAACATTACCTTACACCTGATACATGTTGGAATATTTCTGCATGTAGACCATCCACAAAACTGACTATATTTGGCACAAGGAAATTCTTTACATTGCAAACATGGAGTTAGAAACCCGGTTTTCAATGCTTTACGACGACATTCATCACTACAATATTCGCTTGGTGTACCATCGGGATCTAGGTCCGGTTCAATTTCACAACAATATAAACAGTTTACCATTTTTAAAATTATAAAAATTTATGGTGTTATTAACTATTTAATGAATAGATTGTACGAATTTAAATCTGATCTTTCCGATAAATTTTACATTTAAATTAATTTCGTTATTCATCGAAGTAGCGTATTTCCAAAATAGGATGCTATGAAAAAACATTAAAGCAGTTTACAACAAAGTTGCTTGATAACGGAGATACATGTATAATAATATTATTAATGCGGATTCTACTTCCGCATTCTTAATATATACTTTCTAAGCCTTAGTTTCATATATTTATCATTACTGTTACGCAAGTTATTTGAACTATAATCGAATTTATCACATTTAAATATAGCCATAAATGGTAAAGATCTGTGATCTTAACATGTATTGTAATTTTATTTAATAATATCGATATGTGTATGCGCGAAAAACAATCATTTGTTCTCAATAAAACAGTGGCAGTCTTTCAATAAATTATTCTTCCATAACGAAAGATATTTCTTTATATAAGTGCCCAGTTCTATTATTTTTTGCCGCTGCTTTGCATTCTAATTGACCAAAAGTTAATGAAAATTCTATTGGTCGGTTGCGGCCGTTATGGACATCTTTTATATTAATTTTCAAGGTTTTTACGTATTTCATTCCTTGGTCATCACAAAATTTTCCATCTGCGCTTTTAGTACAATAAATTTTAAAAGCTAATACTTCCTGATTTGCTCGAACCGGATAGAAAATTTTAGTGAATGGTTCGTTAACATCAACTTTTGACCCGCGCTTTGCAAGGCACTCAAAAGTATAAATCAATCCATCTGATGATCTTCTTGTCTTTTTATCTTTTCCAGAAACCCATTCTCTTGCTACTTCTATTCCGAAAGTCCATTTAAGAACACGTGTTTTAACTGTATTAACATTAAGTCCATAATATAAGCCGCCTTGAACTACTGCTGAAATGGCACTTGTCGGAACGCCAATACTGTCTACTTGAAATCTAAAATTTTCCTTAACTTTTTCAACCAGATAGGATGATTCTGAAAACCCTCCAACCAAAAATATAGCTGAGCACTTTTCTTTAGAAGCCTTTAATTGATCTGAAATCATTTCGAGAATTTTGTTGACAACGGGATCAAACATTTCCTTGACAGAAGGGAAATCTATTTTGACGGTCCATCCGGCATTTTCCATTTCAGTTTTTCGATCGCCAGTAACATAATCTTGCAACTTAGAGCAATATTTCAATAAATTCAATTTAATAGTCTTCCATTCTGATTGCTTTCCATTAAATTTGCGTTTGATTCTGCGAAAAAAGAATTCTTGTAGTAAATATTGTATTTGGTTATAATGGTTCGTTTTTAACTCTGAAAAAGCATGTAATCCAACTTTTCCACCAATAAATTTGAGAAATTCTTTGTCCACAAATGTACTTCCACAAGGGTAACCAATTCTTTCGGTTATTTCGCCTAATACATCCTTTTCGAGTAATTTACGAATTGTTATGTCAACTGTACCACCCCCACAATCTACTACACAGAAAGAATCTATACACCGAAGACAACATATTTTAACATGACAGATAAATAAAAAAAATGACAAAAATATTAACAGTATACCTCCTGATTTTAAATTATGCGTTTTGACAACATTAAGACAATGTAGAGCAGCAGCCTCAGCTAAAATTTAGCAATTAAACAAAATCATTACCATTTTTGTTTCAATTGCAACAATAAAATTAATCTAAACCTATTTCTTTTTTACATACGTTCAGTTGTAAATTCTAGATTGTTTGAAGATAATTTACTCAATAAACCGGCTTTATATGCACATTCACGCATTACTCCAGTAGTATGTGGAGGCTGATTAATAAAGTTTGAATATAAATACCTAACTTGTGATCTATATCGATATATGTCAATAAAAATTTAACTAGGAACAAAATACAATACCCATTCTGCCGGAATAGTCAACACAATTCTGACTTGATCAGGGAATTTAACCATATTATTCCAAGTTGTAAGCCTTTTTTCAATCAATTTTCTCATTTCAGTTAGATAATCTTTGATTGCTTGTTTGTAATTTAATTGAGGCGGTAACCAAGGTTTATCTTGATCCTTTAAATTCAACAAATGTAATTTAAATAATTCTACTGGCCTCGAACGGTTATTTTCATCATCATCATCATCCGAAGATTCTGCATCTTCCTGAAATTCGACCAAGGCTCTTGCACCCCAAGCTGTCACATTTTTATACTTCGAATCATATTGAAGTACCGTAGGAGTTTTTGCATTTAAACCACTCTCGTCACCTGGCCTATGTTTGAAAAATAAATAAGTATTAATGCGAAATAATATAAATAACACTAAGAATAAAATACCATATTTTATTTATGTCTATTGCATTTGGATCATTTTGATTTTCTTTGTGCACAAAAGCAAATCCAGAATTTGTCGTTCCAAAATCTATGGCAACGATTACACGAATATCTTCCATTCGTATATCCATATTCTTTGTTTTTTTTTAAAAAAAAAATACCGGATTTTATATAAAAATACGTGTGATAATTGAGAGATAATGTTTTGTGTGATTTACACAAAAAATATAGTATTCAATCGATAAAGATAACGATGTTTTTTATAAGCTTTATTTAGAATGTAACATGACATACAAAAAAAAAAAAAGCTACATATTAAGATTTTATACGAGTTACTTTAAAAACCGTATAAATGTATTACATGATAAGCCCACCCAATTCTCTTTTTTTTTCTTTTTTTTTCCTAAGATTTTTTAAATATTAAATATCTTATTGATACGTCTGATTATATTTTAACATGAAAGTATTTTCAAAGCCTAAAACAGTAACTCCTAATGAGAATGCAATATACAAGTTGGATACCGTTCGGGATGAAGATTGGGATCTTCTGACTTGGATTTCTTCTCAGATGGTCTGGGAAATTTACGTACATTTGTTTATTGTAATCTGGAATACTATACAATTTGGAGATGATAGAAAAAGAGATTTCAATGAAGAGACAACTATTATGATCAGCCATGTTCGAAGGCTAAATAAAAATTTGTGTATTGATAGTCATAAAACTAAAAAATTTATTAAGCATCTTGAAAATTATCAAAATTATCGTGCTAATGGATATTTAATTCAAAAAAAAAAACTTGTAAATTTGGTTTTTGGTGAACTTGTAGCACGTGGGTTAAAGAATCGATCAGGTTTCTGTCAACAACTGGAAGGATTGCCAATGAAGCATAAAGGAAAACTTCGAACTATAGTTCTTGAACGGATGAAAACATTGGTTGATATATCTCAACCTAACAATAAATCGCCTATGCTTTCAGGGACAGATGATAGTGGTAACCTAGGAAGTAAGCTGGATGTTTTGCAAAATGAAAAGGATATTCTCTCAGAGCAAATTATGGAATTGCAAAAAGAGAATTCAAAATATCAAGCAGCGCATGGTAATTTGACCAACCTTGGTTTTAGTGATAACATTGTTAAGTTAGATAAAGATATTAAAAATTTACAAGATTTACTTGAAGAGTTTACATTTGTTTCTGGTCCCGAATATGAAGTCGACGATGCCAAATGTCATGAACTTTTGTCATATTACAAGTGTGATGTTGAAGTTGAGAGTCAACTTAGAAAACAAGTTTTATCCGCAGCACTCCAACGGCTGATTATTGAAACAGTTATTACTGAAGCAGAAAATTATTTTGACACAAATAGTACTACTGAGGCTAGTTTAGTGACTGCGACAAATAAATTAGTGAATATGACAAATTCATTCACAAATGAATATGCTGAAAAAGATGAAATTGCTAAAGTTATTCCGACTAAAATTCGTCAACAAGTCTTTGGCATGCTCGGATGTTACGCATTTTCAAACAATGATCATCCGTTACTTATGAAAATTTCAGAAATAATTCTTGAAAAGTTGAATCAATATCGAAAAATTATTGAGAGTGGTGATGATGATAATGAAATTATACCAATAATTCGTAAAGTTATTCAACTCTTTTTCTACCAACTTAAAGTTCATCCAATTATTCCAACATATAAATTTTACGATAGTGGTGAAGAAATGAATTCCTTGTTTATGGAAAGTGCAGGTACAAAGTCTAAAGATTTGAAAAAGTTAGAAGTAGAAATTTGTTATTTTCCTGTAATTGCAATTTTAGATCCCGTTGATGATAAATCATACAATGTTTTCTCCAAGGCTCTGATAATTCCCAGGTCTAAAAGTAACAATAATTCATTAGAATAGATGTTTCCTTTATTAATGGTAGTAATTTTTTCAATATATATTTTTGTCTCAATTTTATTGTTTTTTTTTACAATTATTGTCTTAAAAAAAAATGCTTACAATTAAAATAAATGCATGTTTTGTTATTAGTTTAATGATTAGTGAACTACCCCAGTTCGCCTGAAAAAAGTTGCAGTCACGTGAAATTTTTTGTGGCGTAAACAAATCAGATTTTAAGATTACAGCAGAGACAGTGCCCGATCCTAAGTGAATCCCTCTCGCTTGTGATCAATCACAAATTAATTTATGTTGGATTCAATTGTGATGGATAAAATCCCTCACTAGTCTGAATGAAACTTCAAAACAAACGTTCGCTTTGTCAAAAATCGTTTATTTCTCAAAACGGAGTCCACCAGGGCGACCACGAAAATTACGGGTCATGTGATGATCTACAACAAATTAACCAATGATAAATAATAATTTGTTGTAACGTAACACAATCAGGAAAATTCAAAACAAACGTTCACTTGTCAAAAATCTCCTTTATCTCACGAACTTGCATAAGAAACCGGTCTTTATGCTCTAATAAAAAAAATTCCTTGAGCAATTTTACTTTAAGGACCTTGCTCTAACCCTAGCTTCAACATTAACTTCGACGTTAATTCTAATTTTACTGAATATTAGGTTATTTTGCGATCATCACATGACCCGTACTTTTTGTGGTCGCCCTGGTGGACTCGCAAGAGGGTACGTGTCATTTCACCAACAATCAATTCGCCGATACCCCATTTCACCGACAATCAATTCGCCGACAAGTTTATTTCACCGACAACTATTTCACCGACAGCCCAGTTCACCGACTAGGTTTTTTTAAAAGTTGCACTAACATTAACTCTAATTCCAACTGACCCTAACGAAAATGACCAGAATTACTTTGTCGGTGAAATGACTGTCGGTGAAATAACTGTCGGTGAAATAAACTTGTCGGTGAATTGACTGTCGGTGGAATAGGCTGTCGTTGAAGTGATTGTCAGCGAAATGAGCACCACCCCTCGCGAGATTAGGTGTAATTTTGTGTAAGGTTAAATCGAAAATTTCATATAAAAAATCGATAAAAAATTCATGGCCGACTTTTACTATATGGGATCTTTGCTACTAAAATGACCCTACGAGTCATTGTTACTGTATACAAGAAATTTATTAGAAAAAACATAGTAAATCTATTTTTAAAAAAAAAATTTCCTAGCAAAGATCTCATATGACATTTATCATCTCATTTCCATCAACTATAATACTAATGCTGGTCAAATTTCATGTACTTTTATTAAAAATAACAACAGGAAAGTCTACAGACACGTACAAGTTACATTAAATTATACATACCCTAAACTAGGATTAGTGATTAGTACATGTCTATAACATTTATTCAAATGTATAAACTATGTAAAATGCATTTGTAAATGGATAGTACTCTAGTCATAATGAAAACAAGATATCAGATCATATAACTTCTGAAGCATCCAGTCTGATATCTAAAAATCAAAACAATTGAAGAAAACATATAATTAAAGGAAAAACTATAAATTTAGGGTTAAGTAATCATATTATATAATAAAATTTTGCAAGAAATTTTTTGAATTTGAGTGCAGAAGGTGATTTAATTAGCAGAATTTTAAGCTATTTGTAATTTTTAAAAAAACTTTATTGTTTTTGTAAAATTTTATATTACATTAGATCCTGGATTTTGATTTTAGGTGTAATTTAGAGTGTCAGAAATCACATGACCCAAAATTTTATTTTCACCATGGCTAGGGTATTTGTAAATGAATGAGCATAGTAAGTAAATCAAAGATCATATGCCTTGACCTGTAATTTTATTGGTTTTAGTTCAAGTTTATAGAGAATTATACATGCTATACAGAAATCTAGAATGTTTACTTATTAATACTCCTAACTTTTTACTAACCTCTTTAGGCTATAACTTTTAACTAGTAATCTATTTTCTTATATTTATACAATTTATATGTGAAAAATGCCTATTTAATAATTATCTTTTAAACTGTATTCCAGGCAAATTTGCCTGAAAAATTAAATTGTATTTAGTATTTTTAAATAAAACAATAATTTATTAATAATATAGAGTATATTTTGCTTATGAAATATATTCTTAAAAACATATTTTATATACTTTATTATAAAACTTTTTTTAAAATATTAATAAACTTTTATGTATTAAAATTTTAAAGATTATATTTAAAAATTT